AACCTCTTCAGAAATTGTTTATGTTAGTAAGGAGTGAGCTGAATTTAGATCTTAAAAACATTCGTCAAGAGCAAGCTAAGTTTTGGAAGCAGCATCCTGCATTAGTGAAGGTCAAACCCTTGGTTCTTTTCTTCTATTTTATGGTTGTGATAAAATATTTCTTCATATTTTCCTCTTATGCACAGACTGAATTGTTGGTTCAAGCTCAGCTAACCCGTGAAACATCAGCATTATCTCCAAATCTGCAGCATGATTTTAGACATGTTCTTGAACTTGCTCCTCGTCTTCTTGAAGAATTGATGAAGGTATTTGCGATAGTATGAATTTATTGTTTATAATTTCATTACAATGTTTTGGTAATTGTTTTTTGAATTTCAGACTGATTATCTATTCATGAAAAACTATTATTCAGTAATTCTCTTCCAAAAATAGTTGTCAATGGTGGTAAGAAGCTTGTCAATATACTTGAAGTCAGTTAATGTAGTTATCATTTCTGCTGCAACTTTTCTGTTGAAACTATTTGGAGTGTTTCGGGCTCTCTGCTATTAATTGGAAACACTTAGCCTGCAAGTCTTAGGAATTAATGGCATACATAAAAGAATGAGCTAGTGTATGCCTCTAATGACAGATATTGTCTCATGCTTCAGTTCTACTTTTGTTTGACTTTCACAAGCCTTCTTGCATGTTGTTGCGACTTGCGACATTGTTACTTTGACCTTTTGTCAATTTGATCCTCCATTTTCTGTACTTGTCATTGATACTGGTTGTCGCACACATCTATGATGGGCTTATGTAAAAATGTCTCTCTAGACTTCTAAAGATTGTAATGTTCTTTAGGAATTTTTAAAGGGTCTTGCTAGGGTGCCACCACATGAGTGCTACCATGGGTGCACCCATGCTTCGCAGAGACAAACCCAGACCCTAATCGTCTGTGCAACACAGACGATTCTGTGTTTGTCATGGGTGCACCCATGTGGTGGCACCCTAGCATCATTCATTTTTAAAACCATTCTTTGATCTTACCATGCATCTTGTGTAAGTGAAGTGCACATATATGGTTATATGCTCTTTTTATTGACGACTTGTAATTGTATGTGCTTATTTAAATTCTATTTATGCATCATGTAGGATCTAATGATGTATTATTTATATTATTGCAGATGGCAATTATACCACGCGCTCCACTTGGGCATGGATGGCTGAGGCCAGCAATTGGAGTGGTTGAATTGTCTCAGAGTATTATTCAGGTTTCTACTATTTACTGAAAAAACCAATGCTTTGTTGTTGTTACAGCTTTGAGACCTGCCCACACTTCTCATTTTGGTTTTCCTCAATTTGTTGTTATTGTTTATTTATTGTATATATAAATAAATATATACTAATAAATGTATAAATAAATAAAATGTATATAAATTACTCCATATATTATATTGCAGAGCATACTATTTCATATAAATTTTATTATATTATAAGTTATAAATCATGGAAACACGTCCTTAAATGTACCATCAACTTTTTTCATGAACAACTAATAGAATCACATGGTCAAAACAACTAAGGGGCTGTTTGGCAACTTCTGAATAGGTAAGTGCTGAACCAGTAAGAGGTCTGAACCATTAAGTGCTGAACCAGTAAGAGGTCTGAACCATTAAGAGCTAGTATATTGCTTAACTATTCAGAGGCAAATGTCTGATCAATTCAGATAAGAGGTCTTAACCATTCAGACTCTGTATAATACTTAACCATCCAGAGGCAAATCTCTTAACCATTCAGACATCTGAACCATTAAGAGGCTGAAACAAACAGTCTGAACCATTAAGTGCTGAACCATTCAGACATCTGAACCATTAAGAGGTTGAAACAAACAGCCCCTAACTCAACTTGACATTCAAACTACCCAACACAAACATCCAATAGCCAACCACCATCCTAAGGTAGGAGTGCCCAAACACATGAACACATTGGGCCAACTCCAACTGGCACGCACCCCTTGGTTGTTTGACCGGTCAAATCAGCTAAAATTTATCAAAACTACCAAAAGCCATTTGAAAAACCAAGTTGCAAACATGGCCATTGTTTAAGATAATGCTGGCTTTTGCTATCAAAGTGAATTGTTCATGCCATACCTACCTTTTGTGACATTTCTTTGGACTTCCCTTGCGAAAGATAGTCTTTTCTTAGGGTTCTTGCAAGTTATTTTCAGCAGCAGATAATTGGTCTTTATTCCCCATTATGGATTATGTTGGTGTTGTTATATCTGACCAAGACAGTGCACTGGTCACATTATTCTATTATTACTTGAGATGTAACTGGGGCATTGATCCACCTGTATACCCATCTGAAATTATTAGAACTGGTTTTATAAATTTTCAAACAGAAGAATCCTATGGCTAATTCATTGTATTACTGATGATTCAGGCTGTTCAACTTAGTTCAAGAAAAGCAACAGGTGGATCTAGTGAAGGATATGGTCCTTTTCTTCAGCTACCACATTTCAGTGAGGCTGTCATAAAGAAGATCGGCAGAAAGGTGAGACTTAGTGGAAGCATCACTGTTTCTTTGTTGGTCATGCAAAGTCAGTATCCTGAAGTTTAGCTTCAAGTAACATAATCTAATGTTTTTTTGTGCATTGTCATCTGAACGTTGCTGTGGCTTAAAAATCACTACTACAGAAAGTGCGCACCTTTCAAGACTTTGTAGACATTAGTGCACAAGAGCGTCTGGACTTGTTGACTCAAACTGCTGGGTTCTCTGATGCTGAATCCCAAGATGTCGAGATGGTTCTCGAGATGATACCTTCGATAACAATTGACATCTCGTGCGAGACAGAAGGAGAAGAGGGGATTCAAGAAGGTGACATTGTAACCATGCACTCCTGGGTCACTCTAAAGCGCCGTAATGGTTTGATCCGTGCACTGCCACACTCTCCTCATTTCCCATTTGACAAAGAGGAGAACTTTTGGTTGCTACTTGCTGACCCATCTTCAAACGATGTCTGGCTATCACAGAAGCTAAGCTTCATGGATGAAGCCACCGCCGTGACTGCTGCTTCAAAAGCAATCCAAGAGTCAAAGGAGGGGTCTGGTGCTACTGCCAGGGAAATAAACACCGCTGTCAAGGAAGCCATTGATAAAGTAAAAAATGGGTCAAGGCTTGTGATGGGGAAGTTCCAGGCCCCACCAGAGGGGAACTACAACTTGACCTCTTTCTGCTTATGTGACTCTTGGATCGGTTGTGATGCAAAGACAAACTTGAAACTGAAGGTGTTGAAACGCAGCAGGGCTGGGACACGGGGGATTGGTGGTGCCACGGCGGCAGATGAGACCACTCCATCTGCCATTGAAGAAGGAATTGAAGAAGAGGTGGAGGATGACGATGGATATGATGACTATGAAAGCGAGTACAGTGAAGATGAAGAAGTGGTTAAAGACACAAAAAAGGAGAAGATAAAAGTTGTGGCCAGTGAAACCACCACCACCACTCACAAGGACTCCCACTCAAGCTCCGAAGATGATTCAGAAACTGAAACAGAGTAACACCTCTTCTTTTGCCACACTCATCTTTCACCTGTCTGTGGACTCCGTCATTTTGATTTTGTGTGAAAGAAGGGACACGAATCGTTTCTGTCACAAAACAAAGCCTTTTGTTGAGCTTGGATTGGAGGGAGGCATGAACTGAGGGTGCAAAGGCTTACATAATAGGACGGAGAGAATTATACAAAGAGAAACATTTGTTTGTTCAACTTTTGCCCCCCCGAGTTCTCTTCTAAAAGTAGAGATAAGAACTGTTTCCTTACACTTCTATCATCATATTACATAGATAGCACAATATGCTTTGAAAAGTTATTCCGAGAGGCTTTAGAATATGAATTTTTTTGATTTCTGCAAAAAAAAAAAAACTTCGAAACGTTTTTACTTTGCAGTGTGAGTGAGGAAAACAGGGGCTGTACTTGGGACCTTGATCCAGGCAAAATGCTTGCTTTTTTGATCTGTTGGTAGCCTCTGCAACGATGTTAACTGATCCTCTGTTGCCAAGACCTTGCATGGGTCGGTCGGAGTTTTCGCATTCAAAGAGTGTTGTTTCTTTCTTTCTTGCGTGACGATATAAGGGGAACTATCTGAAATTTAAGAAAAGGGTTCATTAATTTTGAGTTACAGAGTAGTAATTAAAGTCGATATAATTAACTTTGAAGCAATGTTTGAGTGTTCTTTAGAAATTCCTCCATGATTGAGCTTGAGTTGTGTTATGCTAAAGTGACACCAAGTCTTTCCAATCGTTCTCCGCACTTTATCCCATCACACGGAGTATCAAATTTTTTATAACATTCAAATACTCCATATTTAAAATTATATTTAATTGTGATCAAAGTGCTGCATAAATTAACTAAAAAAGTCAAATTGTGATAATATTTTTAAAAGAGACACACTTTAACGGGTCAAGTCCATAATAAGGCCAAACGGGATACTAGAATGAAACGTTCACTTTTGACCTGTTCAAGGTTACGAACCTTCCATAAAAATCATTTGGTGATAAATCTTATTCTTCGAGCTCATTTGGACTATACACGACGGTAAAAATTTGAAATTAAATTTTGCCTATGTGCCTTTTTGGCTAGTGACATTTTCACCACTAACCCTATGTATATTGTTTAAATATCCCTTCGACCTTTGAGTCAGTGTGGTTTTTGTTTACAATTTGAGTTGTGTGTGTTGTTAGCCATGAGTTGTTTGTACAATAAGTTACTAACTACAAGCACTAAAATTACAACTACCAGTTCAATTAAGTTCTGCAAAAAAACAATCCCATAGAAGCAGTAAATTCTAAACAAATTAGCATCTCCACTAGAAGCAAAAATGTTGAACTAGGCTATGATGAATGGGGGTAGTGGGGTGGGTGGGTGGGGTGGGGGGTGAGGATTGGGGGCCAATAGGGTGTATAGAGGTTGTTTCTCAGAAGCGTTCTGGCTCGAAAATACAAAAAACGATTAAGTGCATAGTTTTCTAGTGCTATAATCTTTCTTTGACAACAGCCNCAATTAAGTTCTGCAAAAAGGAACAATTCCATAGAAGCAGTAAATTCTAAACAAATTAGCATCTCCACTAGAAGCAAAAATGTTGAACTAGGCTATGATGAATGGGGGTAGTGGGGTGGGTGGGTGGGGTGGGGGGTGAGGATTGGGGGCCAATAGGGTGTATAGAGGTTGTTTCTCAGAAGCGTTCTGGCTCGAAAATACAAAAAACGATTAAGTGCATAGTTTTCTAATGCTACAATCTTTCTTTGACAACAGCCGTTGTGAGTCCGTTGCTGTTCCACACCAGCACTAGTGTTTCTACATGCACTGGGACTGTCCGGCTTGCGTAGCCCGTGAAGTCTAGACTGCACCTTTTTAGCTTGCATCTTGAGATCTTCACACTACTTAAGGGATACCTGTCAGTGATCTGTACATGGTCATTAGTGGACAAATCTTGGAAAAACACCCTGCTATAATATAAATTTATTGTATGTCAATGGCTAGCTTTTGAGAGAATATGGTTATAGATCACAGATGCAATGCATGAATAATGCATACTTGTAGAGCATACAATGAGATGTGGCAAGAATGATAAGATTATGATCAAGTCCATCTTTAACCAAAATGAGGGCCCTAGGTGGCGGGCGGGGTTTAGCCCTTAACCATAAAGATTTTCACTTCTTTTTTTCCTTCTCTTTTTTATCAGAAAAGATTTTCATTTCTATTGGAAAAAAACATAGCAAGTGCAGCATTTGTGATGGAATTCATCCTTTTTTTAACTTCCTTTTCTCCTATATGGAGTCATTCATATATTCTTCTAAACATCATTTCCATCAACCCCTGCTGAGCGAGTAGCTATGGAAGTTCAACTTTTCCTGACCATGGTTTAATGCATGTGTATGAATTGCCACAACCCCGAACACGACAGTACAGTGAATTTATCAGAGAATGAGAAAGGTTGCCTAAATTTTTCAGTCAATAATGCATGGTCCAGATGATGCAAGAACAGTAGAGAATAAAATTGTTGTATCCTCTTACATTTGGGATGTCGAAGTCACAATCCATGGCATCACAAACATCGAGTGATATCTTTCGAAGTAATGGCATCTGATCCAAATTATATTACGGGGTAATTAATACTTGGCATCATAAATTAAAATGCTAGTAGTAGGAGAAGCAAATATATGGGTTAAGGCATCAACCATTCAAATGAATTTGTTACCTTTGAAGCAACACGAGAAATAGTATCCCTCTGCATTCCAGGACCCTGCAATTCGAAACTCAGGCAACTTATTAGCATGCAACGGACAGTGATCAAATCATTTCAAGAAAAATTACAGCTATGAGATTCATACATAATTAAAAACATGGCTGAAAATTATTCCTCTGTCACATTTTACGAAGTATTACGCACTCCCTCCGTCTGGACTCTGGACGGAGAGAATATTTATTAACAAATGAGCTATTGAAATCACACTTTCTTGTTTAATTTTGTGTTTACACACCATTTTATCCTCTCGTGGTCACCTTAACAGTTAACCCTATGTTAGGTTTTGTGGCGTGAAATTCAAAGTATCCATTAATTGTTTGATACTCCCTCCGCCCCCAAAGAATTTCTCATTTTCCTTTTCGGGACATCCCAAAATAAAATCATGTTACCTATTAAGAAAAGAGTTGTATGGCTCAAATTATTTCTCTCTGCATAAATATCAACCACACAAATTTACTTTTTCTTAAACTCCATTAAAAAAGAAAATGATAAGTTCCATTGGGGACCGAAGCAGTAGTAGTTTACACTATAAATCAGTGGGGGGAAAACATGTTAATGTTTTGTGACTGTGGTGTGTTGCAGTACTCTAGTTAATACTCTGTAGATGATTCTCAAACCTTTCCTACAAATGAACAATGATAGGAAATTCCACAATACCCATCATTAAAAGCTTTTCAACTTGGATGGAATACATATCATGAGACGACATTGAGTTGAGATAGTTGTTATAATCATGTCATGTCACTATATATACAGGATAAATTTTGTAAATTCAAGACGCGCATAGTAGAACATACTAAACTAATAAAATAAGAGATGAGTTATGATACTTAAAGATATTTGCCTATTTACTCATTAACTACAAGTTTGTTCAAATAAACTCCTACAATAAATTGGATAAACACCGTGTGTCAACTTCTACAATCACCTACCTTCCTCCAGAGCACATACTCTCTACCACCTNACGACATTGAGTTGAGATAGTTGTTATAATCATGTCATGTCACTATATATACAGGATAAATTTTGTAAATTCAAGACGCGCATAGTAGAACATACTAAACTAATAAAATAAGAGATGAGTTATGATACTTAAAGATATTTGCCTATTTACTCATTAACTACAAGTTTGTTCAAATAAACTCCTACAATAAATTGGATAAACACCGTGTGTCAACTTCTACAATCACCTACCTTCCTCCAGAGCACATACTCTCTACCACCTATCAGGCTACCTATGTATCTCAGTTCCTACCTACACTCACTACCACCACCCAGCTACCCAGAATACTACAATAGAGATTTAAGACACCCTGGATGACTAGATTGTAAACCTTATTGTAGCGCTAGCCCACTATAAGGCTAATCATACTTCTATATAAGAATATGTATGTTGAAGTATAGAGAATTGTAGTACTCTTAGTTTTTTAATAGCAATCTTAGTTTTAGAACTGTTATAGTTTCCCATTCTCAAGTTTAGGTTTCGCATTCATCTTGGGTTTAGAGCCATCATTTTCTTTGTAAATGCACTTTAACTGTCTTTAGAAATTATAATGAAGATTAAGAAAGTCATGCTAATACAACAACAACAACAACAACCCAGTTAAATCCTACAAGAGTAGGGTCTGGGGAGGGTGTGTGTACGCAGACCTTACCCCTACTCGAAAGTAGAGAGGCTGTTTCCAAAGAGACCCCCGGCTCAACGTCGAAAGTTTCATTGCTTGACTAACTGCTACTTCATTAATTAAAGAAGCGCAGACAATTTAGAGATCCATTTTGATTTATTCCATCACACCCCAAAGCCAAAAAATGGTGAAATTTTGGCTCCATCGGAGATGATGGAAGAAAAGTCATGCTAATACACAGTAGTTTAATTACACGTGGTATCAAAACCCTAGCCTAACACAATGCAACAAAATCCCTACTTTTTTCATGCACGCAACCCTTTCCAAATTCAACTACATAGTATTACTTAATTTGGAAAGGGTCAACAACAACAACCAGTAGAGACCCTGCTTTTGTGGGATCCCACCGGGTTGTTGTTGACCCTTTCCAAATTAAGTAATACTCGATTGTAGTTGAATTTGAACATGACTCTTCATTTTTAAATGGAACCCAAAACAAAAAGAACAAGGATCAGATGAAAATAGAACAAAAATCAAATGAAAATAGTTGAGTAGAAGGCTCACATTGTGCCGTAAGAAGAGATCTTCAAGGGCATGACATTCCAAAAGCGATGTGACACCACTGACCGTCACTTCACCACATTCCTAAAAAAAATCCCAAGACTTATCATGAACAGACAATACATATCTTCCATTTAGAAGTCTAAAGATGACAGCAATTGTCTGTGACCTGAAATAGGTGATATATGATAAATTAATTATATCACTGGCATCGATGCCTATTTTAGGGGGCGACAATCATTTATTAACTACCGAACAGGAACATGGCAACTTATATCACACAACTTTAATTTTATACAATCTCACAAGCCTCAGTGCAAGTCCAACAGAGAATAGATATCAATGCTCAATAGCATAGATCATATACGGAGTATATTGCAAATGCACAAGGACAAAGATAAGGGTTTTTGATTAACACTTCAAAGATAACAGTTTTTCTTTATAGTCTTCTATGTGTGTCTGTGTTTAACTTCCAAGTAGTTTTACTTGAGTAGTACTCCTTAATCCATGTTGGTGATTATCCATGCAATTGCAAATGAATCCGGTTAAAAAAGTCCTATCAAATACGGAGTAGAGTAAGATGTTTTTTATGACACATTGAGGTAAATAAGCCATTTAGCCATCCTTTTGGGGTTCTTATCTAGTTAGATACTTAGATTGGTTATAGCCCAAGAATTATTTTCATCTGTCTATGTACATGCATTATGCATAATTGCATGCGTAGTCATTTGTTCTCATCTAGGTAAATTGTCAACCTCTAGATGAACTGAGATCAATCCAGGCCAACCAAGTGAAATAATATGTTGGGACTCTGCAAAGAAAAGAGCATTAAAAATTAATACACACACACACACACACATTTCACTGTGACCAGCACTTTTTCAGAGTATTCTATCTTGGATGAAGTATGAGAAAGTAAATATTGACGCTAATATTTAGATGCTTGAAGAAAGAAGAATCTAAAGATAAAAATCAAAAAAGTATATGCAGATTTTCTTGATGTGTCCTACACAATACTTCCTAGAAGGATCACGCCACAATTTTTTAGGTAATAGTTACAAACCTGAATTAAGAAGTGAGCAACCCACTAAAGAAAGTTCGATCAAATTTACACAACTCCCAGTAAGAATGAGCAGATCTTCATTGGTCATCCTTGGAGAAACTCTTTCAAGTTTCAATTTTCTCAAATTTGGCAAGCTTAACTTAGTGCTTGATAATGAAATCTCACCAATGCAATAGCAAAGAGCCAAAACTTGCAAATTTCTCAGAGCCTTTGCGATATTTAGTATGATGGAGTTAGATATTACCTGTTTCAATCAGTAACACGGAAGATACTTCAAAGCAATTTGAGTGTTTTCAAAAACATGTAATTTTCCTTGACTTTTCATTATTGCCGTTGAATAATGGTCTCAAAAAGTTAGATGCATGACAGACAAAAATGGTGCTGGGAGAACTCAAGCCCACAGGCTGTGCTCCAACAGTTTCCCTTTTAGGGTCATAATAATTTCTAGTAATCATGATAAGAAAATCATTTAGAGCCTGTTCTTTAGGGCTGGAAAAAAAGAGCTGGATGTCAGAAGAAACTGGAAAAAACATGAAAAAACTAGAAAAGCTAGAAGGAGCTAGAAGAAACTAGAAAAAACTAGAAGAAACTGGAAAGAACTTCAAAAGGTTATTTAAATGTATTTACATATCATTCTTATTGTAATTGTTATTGTTGTTAACATTATTATTATTATTATTATTATTACTATTACTATTACTATTATCATCATTAAAAGTATCATATATAATAGGTAAAGAAAGTAATAAAATTCAACCACGTGAATAGTGTGTGTGCCATTTAATTAGAGGGATAGAGGGAGTTGTATAATTATTATTTTTAATTAAAAATGTTGATGTTTTTCCCAAGTCAAATAAGATGAATAAAATATTCCTAATTTTTAGAAAATTGTTTAGTGTCATGTAAATAAAAAAACATTTTTTCTCAATACAATAGTACTCTGTTTTATTTATATTAAAAATGAAAGAAAAATAATAATGAGTCTGAATCACAAAATAAGTGACATAGGAAAAAATAAAAATTGAAAAATAAACTATAGCTATGAACATAATAATAATATGTTATGGATCTACTGCCAGAGGAAAAAACCAACTGTTTGCCGGAGTGATAGGGCGCGACATGTACCGAGGTGGCAATGGGATTTTGACATGAGTTAATTATTATTCATTCTTATTTAATTGTAACGTACTACCTCCGTCCCAGAGTATTTGTCCACTTTCATTTTTACACACCATCCAATACACTTCTTTAATCCATTTTATCTTGTAATTTATATATTAAAAAATTATAGAAATTATATATTAATAATCTATATGTTAAGACAAATCAAACAAGATCACACATGACTATATTTAGGCTTACACATTGAGAGAATTTGATGAGTCAAAGTGCTTAGATGAACAGTTCCAAAAGTCAAAACTGGACGAATACTCCGGGACGGAGGGAGTAGTATTTTTAATAGGTGAGTGGAATTATAAGCTCCTTTGAGGGTTTCTTACGGTTTTTTACCTCGTCGCTTTTCATAAACCGTCAAGATATGAAAACCTAGTTTAATTAGGATGTGGGGGCTCCTTCAAAGGCTATAAGTATCCTTGTAACCTAAGGAGTGAATTATCAATAATAAAACCCTAAAACCTAAACTCTTCTCGTCTTCACGCACGGTTCCTTGCCGGCGGTTCTTTTCTTCTTCTCGTCCCAAATTCTCACGAGCTCAAAGACGCCCCAAGTCTTCTTTATCCAATACCTCTACGTATCATAACAACAACAACAACAAAAACAACAATAATAATACATGAAAAACATATCATTTTTAGAGTCATTATTTGGAAAGTATGAAAAGATTGAAGAAAATGGGAATAGTTGGAAAAAGTAGAAGAAATCAGAGGAAACTATAAAAAACGGGAAGGAACTAGAAAAATGGAGGAAACTAGATGGAAAAAACTAGAAGTTAAGAGTTTAAGCTCTAAAGATCAGGCACTTAATCAGTATATTTAAATTTTAAATGTATGGGAAATTTTCTCACCCTCCACATAATACGAAGTACTTATTTTCAAGATAAAAAAAAATAAAAAAAAAATTAAAAAAAAATAAAAAAAATAAAAATAAAAAAATAAAAATAAAAAAAAAGAAAAAAAAAAATCTTCTACTTTAACAAATTGTTGCCAATATAGATTAAAAGCTTTGGGACTTCAAACATTTGAAGAATCCGCTTTAACTAGAGCTCTAAAAATGTTAAAACCACTATTAAATCTTTGGATTACAATCATGTTTTACCTGGAAATGAAGAATCACGATCTCAAGCTGGGGACAGAGAGTGGGCAACATCTTCAGTCCATCTTCGCCCATAGATCCACCTAAACCTACATTTATTGCCCTTAACATTCTAATTGCAGGTCGTAGAGCCTCAAAAGATAAGTATGAAAATCCCCATCCAACAGCAATTTCCTCCAATTGGCACGATTTGCCTAGTTCACCGTACAACTCACTGCAACAAAATGAGAAAGCATTGGGCTTTTCTGCCTCACTCTTGCTTTCTTCCTGTACAAAATGTCTGCAATCTCTGGCAACAAGAAACTTAAGATCATGATTTCTCTGGACCACATGAGCCACAGCACGACCAGAAACCTGAAAATATAAAATGCATCCATGTGTAAGACTCAGATGACTTTCTATCCATAAGGAGGTTGCATTCGATCACCTTATAATATTCCATTATTCCCTATCTATGACCAAGTCTCTATAATCGTTTTGCAAGATAGACGCTCTACCATGATGAATAAATATGCATCTTCTCTACAGGTATATGAAATTATAGATACATATTACGATAATCTTTCTTCACTGGCATTTTAAATAGAGCCCGAGTATTTAAGTACCACTTAGCATTAAACTGGTTCTACAAAAAGTCTGACATGTTTACATATAGAAACCTTGGTATTAGACACATCAAGCATCTCTAAGCAAGATCCTGAAAAGCTATATAGTGCATGGTCCACAAGTTCAGTCTCCCTTAAGCAAAGACTCTTCAACATAGTTGTTTGAGATATAAGCTCTGAAATAAGTGTTGCAGTAACACCTGCCAAGAAGATAGAACAATAGGTGTAAATACTTGAGAGTACTTTTAATATTGAGGCATAAGAGAACATCTAAAGGAAATCCCCTTAAGAAGTGTTCAGCACTACTTAAAGGAGGAATTATAATTGTGTCATTTTATTTAAAATTAGGATCATGATGCATCATGAACTGGATAAATAGAATTCAAACATTAAAGATTATGGAGAAATCAGCTCAATAAAGGCATCCACAACAATGGTGGATTAGCAAGGTTGATTAAGATTTTATGCGGTTGAATTGTCGTGGGGAGTTGATTGTGTGGTTGAATATAGAAGAGAGAGAGAACGTTGGTTTGAATAGCAATCAACCATAAAGAGAGGTCCCTTTCCATTTTCTAACTCATTCCTTTTTTTTAATTAAATATGGGGGACCTGGTTAATTAACACTTCGCAACAAGAAATTGACAACACACATGCACACACAACCCCAAAATGGAAAAAAACTAAAAAGGAAGGATTAGCCCAAATTAAATGTGTAGTGATAAAAATCAACATGCACAGGAAACTCGACAAAAGTTCATAGTGTAATAGGAAGCTAAAGAATGCACAGCGACAAAAATAAGGGGACTAAAAGTTCACTTACTTTTGCAGCCGCCCATATGCAAGATTTGAAGTTTAGAAGCCACAGAACTAGAGAGGTCTTTATACTTTAGTGCTTCAGAACCATCAAATTTAGAAGCACCATGGCAAAGAGCCAAAACCGAATTCCGTCCAAAGTAAGTATCACAAACGAAGATGGAGTGAAGATTTATGCACTTGAGCAGTAAAACTGATATTCCATCATCAGTCAAAGATATACAGCCTCGGAGGTTAACGTAACACAAGGATGGACAGAACTCCGTGAAAAAGAAGAGATGACGGTCTGAGATAGAATTAAAAACATTAGAAAAGAAGTGAAGACAGTTATACACACACACACACACACACACATATTACAGATAATCAAATGCATTCAGAATTCTGTGATACAAAAATATACAGAGTAAATGAGATCGTTGTTGGGCCACTGAAATTTGGAAACAACCATCTTTCATGATCAAATGTATATTACCTGATATATCTGTTCGACCTTCCAACGTGAGATTAGTTATATTTGATTGCTGCAGACCAAGGTCATATGAGAATGAAACAGCATCCGTAGGAGTGATACCTCTTGATCCTTGTGGTGTTACATCGGGGTGTGAAGACTTAATTCTAACTTTGGTCGGCATAATTGGGCTAATGTCTACACTGAGGTCTACATCAGAGAGTAGACAGCACATTTGCACCAATTGATACAACATTCCAGTTGGGAGTTTTGAATAATTAGTAGCCTTTAATATTTTTAATGATGGAAAGGACCTGGAAAAGCATTCTACAATAGGTTTAAGAACTGGGAATTGACAGTTTGATATATCCACCTCGTGTACTCCTTCAAAAGACAAAATTGGAAATGATTGCCAGGAAATCTCAGAGTTATCTCCAAAATGATGCTCAAAAGCAAGAAAATGCTTCTTAATTTTATCTTGTAAAATGGGATCCATGCTATATGAAGAATGAAGCACAGATAAGAGAAGAAGGGCAGGACTGAATTGAAGACAACCTGAAAGGTCCACTTTCTGCAGTATTTCAATGGAGAAAACGTTTAGAAGAAATATCAAATTGGTTTGCAATATAAGTAAGAAATATTCTGTCAAAATCCGGTGTTGAATTTATATTACAACTACGTAGTATATTTCAAGGAAGCAAAAAAAACAGAAAGGGAAGGAACAACTGACGATTTAAAAAAAAACTGAATAAAATATGCTGCATATGATTACAATGATAAAGCTTTACCATCCTCTATCAGCCATTTTATTCATCATAAACGAGGAAAATTAATATTAAAGCAGCTCAATGAAACTTGATTTATATCTATCGATGTCAAATAGGCAAAAATAACAGTATGGAAATTCTCTTAGAAGAACAGCCTAAAAGAGAAGTTGCAAGATAAAAATCTCCACATTAGAAAATTATGTAATAAAAGAAAAACCCTGCAATTGAATACAATGAATTTATCAAACTCTGGAACCAAATTGCAAAAAGATATAGACTAAAGAACTTTGAAGGCCCGCCGCATTTTTTACAGCTATTATAAAACTATCTCTCGGTTCTAGCACACTCAAAACTTTTCTGATAGCACATACATGAATCCAGAAAAAATCAAACAGAAAGACAAAGTTCAATAGTTTTTTTGGTCAAAGTCGACTTTCCTAAGTTTTGAAATGAGACCCTGGTAGAAGTAATATGTATTAATCATAGGATATCAAACAGTGCCAATGAGGGCCAAGACACCTTGTCTCCAAAATAATAATTCTAAATAAAAAAGAATGGTCGTCACTCGTCAGACATCATTAGGGTATTTAGCAATGTGTAACCTTAGTATGTTTAGTCAATCGGATTCTAAGATGACTAGAGTCTTCATCATCAAGATCATATGTTGAACTTGCAGATGGATATCTTGCTAAAGTAAAAATGCTGTCAATACCCGAATCCGCTATCTTTGAAAAGAAGTTGCTTCTTTTCGCTGAAACAAGTACCAAAGTATGTTGAAATTTGAAGCTCAAAGTATGTGGATCACTACTATGGTTTCCTAAGTAAAGCAACAGAAGAAAGTCATACCAGCAGCAAAAGATAAAGGCAATAGTCTGACACGGATCTGTTACAAATCAAAAGCAATGAGTATCATATTAAATATCTCGGTACAGTAATCTAGAAATAATCTACTCACATGTGAAAGAAATCACACAACCTAATGTATTATTTGCCTTCAATTTAGAACTACGTATGGTGCAAAACAGCAAAAGAATGTAAAAAAAGAAAATAAAAATGCAAGGATTACAAAATCTCCAAAGGTCATGCCATCTCAGTGTACGAGCAACATTAATAGAAGCAAACTGCAGTCTCCCTGTGAAGGAGCAGATTGGATAGGCAGATATAAAAGAGATTTCATAGCTATGTTCCATATACAGTCAATTTTTGCTAATAGAGCTTACACATAGGAGATTGTATAGAACTGATGGATTTTCTAATTTGTGTCTGGAACTTTGATAAGAACGAAAGTGGAAATTAATAGAAAAAGAAAGGATGTTTTGAGAAAGGATCTAACTCAATAACTCTCATTAGCCAACAATGGATAATCTCCAGTTGAAAATAATACTCCATCCCCAATTAATTGGCCTCTTCATTATTCCGGGGGCAAGGTCATTTTTGTGCAGGTTGAGCCGGGGGTCTCTTGGAAACAGCCTCCCTACTTTCGAGTAGGGGCAAGGTCTGCGTACACACACCCTCCCCAGACCCTACTGTAGTGGAATTCAACTGGGTTGTTGTTGTTGTTGTTGTTGTTGTTGTTGTTGTTATTCCAGGCTTCCGACAACTTTTGTTAGCGTATGTGTTTTCATTGATGATTTGATAAAATAAAATAGGCATGTCATCACTTGTTTTGTAGAATTTTTTATGTAGTTTTAAAGTTGTAATTTTTTATTTCTATACCAATTTGTAAATAAAATAATTTTAAAAGAGATGGGATTTTGCACGTTATTCGAAAGGGACAATTAATTGGGGCTTGAGAGAGTAAGAGAGTTATATGTTTATTTCTCACTGATGAGAAGTACAAGAGATAGAACAGACTATTCATAGCGTCTGATGAGAACAAAATAATATTCAAGACCGAAGACCCAAAAGACGTAGGTCATTGGGTAGAATTTTTGTAAGGACAACACTTTTCTTTTTCTCTTGGCTCAAAACGTTTATTTCAAACACTTTTATTTACTTTTAAAATGTATTTTGGATTTTTAAATGTGTTTCTGTAAGCCAAAACACTTCAAAAACATCCGTTCAAATATTTTTTGTTGTGGGAATAACTTTTGAAAGGTGTTTTTTGAACGTAGGAAGCTAGAAAGTTGCATCTGTGAAAAATCCGTGTTTTGGAAAAAATTTGCACAGATGGTCACCACTAGGACAATTGATGGTCACCGCTAGGACAATCGATGGTCACCGCTAGGACAATCGATGGTCACCACTTGGACAATTGATGGTCACTTGATGCTGGGTTAATGTTTAATAAAAATCACAAGACAATCGATGGTGCCTCTTTATATCATCAATGATGTTATGTCCATTATGCCCCGACAGTCAGTTTTTAAACAACCATTCGATGTTCTAAACAAGATAATTGATGGTCGGCCGTTTTTAAGCATCTTCCTAGTGCTTTTCTTTGCTGAAATAGTTGTTTTTCTTACCAAATTAACCCCCAACGATCTCAAGCTTTTTTAACCTATAAATACGGGCTTTCAAACATCATTCTCATCAACAACTCTTCCTCACATATAATGATATAATACCTTTCATTATATTCTACACATTTTAATAAGCTTTTGTTGAGCTTCTCTTGAGCCATCGGTGTTGCTTATAGAGCTTTCATTGTTATCTCTTCATCTAATCTTTTGAGTGAGTTTTATTTGTTAGGGAGAGGTTAAGAAGATCATATCTTCTTGTTTTGTTCCGGTTTGCTAAGAACTCGTAATCTTAGTAGAGTAAAGCCTTGGACGAGGAGTCCAAGCGGTTGAAGTCTTGTAGAGGGGATATACAAGCGGTTGTAAACGGCTTGTCAAGCACCTGGTAAGCTTGATAGGGTAGTAGAATCTCGAGTGAGTCACTCGGGGACTGGACTAGCCACAAGTTATGGTGAACCAGAATAAATCTCTTGTGTTCTTCTTTTGAACTTTTATTTCCACATTTCATTCAATGATTTTAATTCCGCAAAAAAATTGTCAACATTCTCGTACAACACTATTCACCATCCCCCCTCTAGTGTTGGCCACTTATTAAAACCTTCAACATCTAACCTCGGGGATCGCCACTGCTAAATTTGGGAAACTTGATTTTGATGTGGGGTGGCTTTGAACCTCTTCTGAATACATCTGATTTTAATGTTGTTTTCCTTTGTCACGCTTAGCACCTTCTGATGCTGCTTCAACGGATGCCACCTTGTTTGCCAACACATCCAAGGTCTCAAATTAATGAGCAATGGAGGCCAAGGTGTCTGGTACAGTAGTAGACACCGGATCAGAAGTATTAGGGGGATTGGAATGCGTACTGACCATTTTTGACATTCTCTCATACCAAATGATAAGAACAAAAGTGGAACCGAATGGGAAAAGAAAGGAGAGATTCTACTGGAACTTTTGTGAGCAAGAATCTCACTCAATCTCTCAATAGTCAACAATGGCGAATCTCAAATTGAAAATGATAATACTCTTGAAAAATACTAGAGATAGACCAGAATTCTTATAGAGTATGACTACAAGTGAATACTAAGATAACTGAAATCCCTAAAAATTAAAGATAAAAACAGAGTAATCTTATCCTAATATTATGAGATCCTAAAATATAAGTAATTAAGTATATAACAAAGTAAAAATTGAATAAAACTCCTAAAATAATAAAATATCCCAACAATTAAAAATTAATAAATATCTTGTACTAACTAGGATTCTTATCATGCTTCAATTAAAACAATCAGCAACAACCACAATAGGCCCACAAGTGGGGAGGGGAGGGCAAGATGTGGGTGGGGCTATGTTGGGTTTGTTGTTGTTTTCTTTAGCTCAAGCACCAAAGACAAACTGGAAAATCCATCAGTTCTGTGCTTGAGCTAATATATAAAATGAATAAAATAAAGGAATTATGAAATATCACACAATAATAGTTTCTTGAGAAAGGATATCTTGTGAATGTGTAGTACATAAAGGTATGAAAATAGTAATTGTGTATTTACTGTTTAAAACTATAGGGGAAAACAGAGTGAAGATAACAAAGAAATCCTAACACTCCCTTTTGCTAATTTGTTCCATAACACTATCAAGGCTAATATAATCAGATCGTGAAATGTCTTTCAACACCTCATCTAAGGCCATATCCTCGGTGAAATCATGGAGTCATAAGTCCTACCTTATCACTTCCATCCAACTCTTCCTAAGTCTGCCTCTACCCCTACTCTCTCCTGCTACCGCCAGCCTCTTGCACCTCCTAACAAGGGCTTCACCATCACAATAAGGCCAACACGATATTTACTACCATTGTCTAGTTTACATTATTGTAAGAAACTCCACCTGGAACCTACAAATCTCTCCACCTAAGTATGAGGTTTTTTTTGAACACCTCTGATTTAACCCCACCAAGGCACTAGACCCTAGTTTGTGGCCAGCCTAGCGCTTTTTACAATGTTGATTGTTTATATCATGAAATATCAACTTCATAAGAAAATTACTCCATATTTTATATCAGCACCCCTTTTGAACCATGCTCAACCCTTAGATGGCTACAATGTCTCATGAACACAGTTTCACTCTAATCTTGTGTGTGTGTGTGTGTAACAACTAACAAGACATCAAAAAGTATTTGAGCACTGCAGAACCACACCCCTACCTCTGCCAAAATTTCAGTGTAATCATTTATTGTAGTGCTTGATGACCCAAGCTCTCCGGTATTAGCCTTAAGCCAAGCTAGAATAGCACCACAAAGATGTTTCTCACTGTGCAAAAGAGTGATCAATTATGGTTGGTATTCGATAAGATAGTGTCTGTATGCAAAGTGTGTGTTTGAAGATCCAATGAAAAATGAGCTTATCTAACCTGTCTACTGTCAAATTAGGATTCTTTATGCATGAATATAACAGTTCATACGGAACATTGTGAAAAGACTCACATGAAATTGCCCACATCTGCAGAAAAGGCATCACATCTGACTTTGTTAATTATAAGTTTAAAAAAAAGGATTCCATAATCAAATGTAATTTAAGAAAACCATGAACTAGCTTCTAATGGCTCAGTGCGATTTTAAGCACTTACAAAGTTGATGGCAAGATAGACCGGACATATTTGTAATACGAAATCAATTGCTGCATCATATCACACTTTAATCTATAAGACACAAGCTGTAATGTGGACAGCAAAGGAGTAAAAACATGATCAGTATTATGTTGTGCTCCATGCTCATAAGTTTTAGTCGCTCGCAATCAAAGACACACTTACCATTCTCTATGCCATATTTCCAAATGATGATGACGTCACTTAATTGAATTTGTGGAAGCAAAATCCTTTTGTATGAAGTCACATTCTTTAACCAATTTTGACACTTGGAGAGGAGACAATCCACTCCAAAAAACAGTGCAGCCTGATGTCAAAGTTGAAGCAACATAAATTTAAGTTGAAAACTACTATCAATAACTGGAAGTCTCAATTAAATAAAATTTTTGAGCCGGATAAAACCCCTCATACTAAGACATTCAACATTCTTTCTTATGAAGGTTGGCAGTTGTGCAATGAAGGGTGATACAATTTAAGATTGTGTAAGGGTCAACGAATTGAGCCATAAGATACTTGGGCTGAACCACATTAAAAGATGATTCCAAGGGATTAACGAGTTCAACTCAAGAGCTTATAAACCTGTTATATTCTTTTCAATTTCGATGTGGGATAGACTCTAACACTTTCTCTCAAGTGGACAACCAAGTCATTTTGAATTTAACCGGTTGACCACTTGCAAATGAATTCACATCCCCTTGTTTTTTTAGCACCAACACCAGAAGGACCACCAGCCGCTGAGTATGGACTTCCTGACGAACAAAAAGATTAGGGCTGCTAGGAATGATTAGGGCCGCTATGAATGAACGTCAACGGACACCTTGACAAACAAGGTGGGCTAAAATTTGCTCTGATACCATGATATATTTCATGTACCATGATATATTTCATGTTACATGTTAGTATATAAAAAACCTTTCTAGGGCCACAAACATGGTATCATAGCGTTGTTGACAAAGAGGTCACAGGTTCGAAACTCAGCGCCACCCAGTTTTAAAAAATATAAGATTTCACGTGCAAGGCTCAAAAAGACTACGCCTACACGTGAGGGGGCATGTTAGAGTATAAAAAAATCTTGGGCCACAACCACAAGTTTGAGCTTTTGGTTGAGTTGGTTCCTTGACAAAGGGAATCCGACATAAACAATTGCCTTTATGCCTTTTGCATGAGTTTAGTGTTGAATAATTTTAAGCAAATTAATTGGCACTATAAATTCCATGCCACCCACCCCAATGGACGAACTAGAAGGGATTAAGGTGTTGATAATGATGATGATGATGATAGAACCCCTAATAAAATATGGCATTGGATTGGGCAAAAGGTTCATATGCTTAGATCAATTTCACAGCCTGACATCAAAATTATTGTGTCAAGTTTTTCCAAATACTCATCAAGTCTTCAGTAAATGAGCAAGTGGTCATGACTCATGCGGCTGTTAAAGTAAAACAATAAAAAAGTGTATTCTCTTTGAAAACTTAAATTTTTAGTTGTAATGACGGACATGGTTGGAGTATAAGTAAAACTGATAGCCAAATGCTTCAAATTGATTAGCAACTATTCCTTTTGGCAATTAAGAATCATTCTGTCACTAACACTTCTTTTGATGGAAAAAACTAAAACTGCCAAAAGAACAGGACTAAATGTACCTCACAAAAAGGCACAAAACTTTCTGGAGTAATATCCAGAGGATATCCACACATAAACTTCAGAACGTTCAAAAACAGTTCAGTGTTCCAATTGATTGATACACAATCAAAGCAAGCTTCACTGCAATAGAAATATTTCACGTCATTCAAAGATTTCATTGGACATCGTGCACATGTTTATATACTTCATGTTTTGATATTTTAAATCAAACAATTCAAATTAACATGTTTGGTGTAATATACAGTTTAACTTTTTTTTGGAAAATGACAATAAGAAGTGTGTATTACATTTTTATTATTATTTAACAAATGATTGGCTACAACTTGTAACTGCAATTTTTAACCCACGTTCGCAATATATCCAATCATAGCTTGGCAAAATAGGAATGGTGGGTTTGTCTCCTAGCTGAACCAATCTTTTTCCTTTAATACATGAAAGGCCCAACTTAAGAGCATGTCCAATGGTAGTGTCCCAAGTCCCATTTTAAGTGGGACCAAAATAAGCCACATAAAAAAAGCCACATAGATATTAAATCCCTTTAAAAAAAAGCCACATAGATATTGAGATCCCAGTTAGTTATTTTTAGTGCAAAGGATAGATTTTTACAGCCCTGTAGCTATATTTGAAAGGGATTTTTTTAGTTATTTACTCCGTATGCTTTGTTGACTGTGCAAATACTTTTTCATTTTAGGCTTGGGACTGTCCCACCAAGGAGGAACTCGGCCCATTTTCTACATATACTCCAACGCTATGGCAGTCCCACAATCTGACAAGGATAGGACAGGGCCTCTCATTTTAGCATGCGTTGGACATGCTCTAAGAGTCCAGTACCACTCTCTTCCCCATCCTTAATCCAAACTATGTTGGGGCCGGTGACACGGAATTTATAGTCCCACTTAATTAATTTCATAAAATTAGTTAACACCAATTCATACAGAAAAGCTTAGGGATAACGCTTTACACCGAATATCCTTACTTTAGAAATGTCATCATTTTCACTTCAATGCATGGTATCACTGCCCAGTGAGGATCTGAGATACTCATTACATATTGGTATTAAAAATCAATATGCACATCATTGTCATCATGGAACATGACTGTGGCCAAGCTCAACAACCACCTAGCCTGATGTTACAGCAATCCTCTTTTCTCTTTGCTTATTTGGATCTTCTACCATATTCATACATCCAATATGTAAACTATCTCGCCAATGGTTAATAATGATTTTATATTTCATAAAAAAGACTACGTGTATTTAAATATATTTGAAATTACACTTTAGTTTAGGACCTAATGTGATGATATTTATCATCATAAATTCTATTTGAAATTACACTTCAGTTCAGGACCTGATGTGATGATATTTATCATCATAAACGAACCAACTCTGCCGCAAAAATATAAGAATAGAAATCACTCTAAATATGACTAAAACATAGAGAAAAGTACCAAAATAGGACTTTCATGTTTTTTCCCGAAATAGTACTTTGCACTGTGGTAATGTGACTTTGCATTGTGATAATGTGGCAGTGTACATGTGCAAATTGCTATACTTTTTTGGTAATGTATATGACCATGTTTGGTAATGTAAGTCCTATTTTGGAAATAAAAAATGGGAGTCCTATTTTGGTATATTTTCAATGTTTTAGTCCTACTTTGGTCTTTCTCCCATATAAGAACTACGGAGTATATAAAAGAAACTCAAACAATTTCATTTAGACATTGATTCAAAACACTAAAATACCTGAAGCTTCCGTTCAAGAGGCATCTAAAATAAGAAGACTGCTCAATGAGCCTGAACATGCATAAAATGGAATAAATTATTATTATTATTATTGGAGCAAAATTTATTTTTGAAATGGAATAAAATATTCACAGAGTTAATAAAAATTTTGAAATGGAGCAAAATAAAAATTTATTTTTGAAATGGAATAAAATGGAATAAGATTATGTCCACAAAGATGGGGAATAGATGTGAGATGCCTTTGACGATTGGCTTTTATTTTGACAATCTGGTGTGTGAGAATAGAAGCCGTGTCCCAATCCACAATTGTATCCGTCGATATGATGATCTCACGGCCATCGCCTTCGGTATTCGTCTGGTCCGGCTCCGCGCAGATGAGAAGTACAAACTCTCCGTCGGCAATGTCCCCGTCCGGCGTCATGGAGCGAAGCAAAATTCTGGTGAAAACCTGCTTTGGCCCTTTGGGCGTAAACGGAATACTCCCTGTCCCTGACATTTGCTCTTTTTTGAATAGTGTAGGAAACTTTTGATTATTTAGACATATTCATTAAATTGATTACTCCGTATTTGATAAAATAAAATATTCTTGACATCTCTTATTTTGAAATACTTTTCATGTAGTTTTTTTATATGTAAATTTTATTTTTTATTTCTTTACCAATATGTAAATAAAATGAATTGAAAAAACTTAATATTTTACCTCGGAAATACAAATGTGGCAAATAATTTGGGACGGAGGGAGTATATTATGACAGCAAATGATAGCCTCATCTCTCATACTCCGTAGGACCGTGCTACACACCCCACCCTTGCTACCAACCTTGCCTCCACCCACTTCCCCACCACATATTTATCTCTACCTATTCTCTATCCACCCTCTAAGGTCTAAGGTGTGGGTTTTTAGCATTTTCCTACTCCGTAAGTGTTTTGTAGGAATCTTCTGAAAATAGGACCGCACGTGGACCCCATAAAATTATGAGTTAGGTTGATTCATATTTTCAAAAAAGTAAAGATTAAATAATGTGTTCTTATATTCAATTAACATTTTAAACTTTAAATTTAGTTCATTAAAATGATTGACAATATAAAAAATGTAGCATATTAATTTATAATTAGTAAATACAATTTAATTTTCAAAGATAATAATAATTTTTAGGTATAAAATACAGTATATATATAGGAGTATGCTTATTTTTGAATAAAAATTTAATTATTCTCAATTCTTTTGAACTATTTTAAAATCAATTCTTTTGATCTATTTTAAAAGTTCAAAAAGTGAATAAGATATAGCAAAAATCTAGGAGCTACAGTCTGCAATTTGTTTTGTATATTCAAAGCGTAAAATTTTAAATATATACTAAGTGATTAGCTTAGTTGGCCAACAACTAATGTTGATAGAATGATAACATTGGATTCAATTCTCACCTTTGCATTAAAACTTCAGATATTAAAATTTAATAAATGTAAGTTTAAGCCCAATTTCCAAAATATTGTTTTGTATGCACTATGCACTAGTAACTTCACCAACCTATGCGAATGCGGGGAATGGTTAATGAATTTGGGTCCGGCCGACGTTGGGATTCCTTGAGATGATATAAGAAATATCAGTTTTTTGAATAAAGTATTATAGAATCCCTAATTTTGACGAGTGCAATAAAAGAGCACTCATGTTGAATGTCATTGAACCTGACCGTATCTAATGTAGAGTCTTAAAATAAGGAAATACAAACATTTAGGATTAAATTTAATACAGTAAAAAAAGATAAACTGGTGGAAAGTTTTAATGAGATACTCCATCCACTTGTTTCTTTTTCTAAATAAGTGCAAGTTTTATTAAAATCAACACAGTCCATATTAGAATTAGCAAATCAGTCGGTTAAATCAGATTTAGATTTGGTCACTTTAGGTTCAGGTAATTTTGAGTTTGGATTGAGAACTACATATTCATGACCTCGTGTCATTGAGTTCAGGTCGATCCAACGGATTATGAAATTTTAAATATTTTTTTATGACAAAGTGTAATACTACGAATAAAAAAATATGTAGAATTCTTGAAAAAAGAGATAATTATGCAATATCAATAAAATTTTGTATGAAAATGTAAATTTATACATTAAAAAATAGTAAGAATATAAATATACTTATAATCTTAATTTTGTAACATTATACTTCATATCAAAGTACTCCGTATCTGATTTTGAAAAATTCTTACATAAACGAGTCAGTCAAGTCAAGTTTGGGTTTAGTCGGATTTGACCTATTTTTAGCAAATCATTTTGGGTTTGATCATATTCGGGTTCGATCAACAAAACTTTTATTCGTAACCCAGTATTTTCAAGTCGGGTCACGAGTCAAAAACAGATCGGATTATTTTTTGTCATGCCTAGACCCTCTGAATATAGAAGGTGGAACTTTTAGAATAGAAGATTCTCTTTAAAAGTGTGTTAAATATGTCTTTAGTTGAGGTAAAATAGAATATTTTTTGTTTTGTCAATGTAATTTTTTCAAGTCATCTTTACCATTTTTTAAATGGTTCCTAAACATAATTAAGACTTTTAATTTGTTGAAATATTACAATCATTTGGTACTCGACATCCTAATCTTGCATTTTAGTTGTCTCAGACACAATTCACATGCTCTAAATTATGCCCTTCGTCGAATTGCATCCCCAAGCTCCATTTGAACGTGTCCCATTCCAATCAAAATTTCGACATATTACAGAATGTGTTCCATTCCAACAACATTTGCATTTCTCCCTTTATAATTGTGCAGTTCACTGCACGGGCCCTACCACGGTAATGAAACCGAAACCGGACTAAACAAGTTGGGTTCATCATACATGGACAAAACTTGAGTTGAGGTCACCTCCTAATAGCACCGTAGTTCCGTGTTACCTACAAAACAAGGGTCACTGGTCATTTTACTGTGCTGGCTGAACGGTAATAAAAAAAAAGATGTCGCGCGTGATTTGTTTTACTGAAATTAAAGTAAATGGCATGTTTATGCATGTCATCAGATAATATTTCCTTTTGATTCATTCAAAAAATGTGTTTAAAGTTTTTCTTCTATTCGGCCAAAAATTCAGCAGCCTCGGCCAGATTTTACCCACGTATCGAATAAGCTTTTAGCAATTACGCATTAAAAAAGGCAATAAAAGTTGAGGGTAGCACTTACGCGAGGTTGATATTTGTTTACTTTCTTTTGCAGTTCTTCCTCATCATCATCATCATCATCATCATCATCACCGTGTACCTTCATGAGCAGCTTTTGAAGTGAAGATGAAGCATTCTCTGACTTCTTTCCTCTCTTAGCTGTGGAAGTTACACCTCTGCCCTTTCCCTTTCTCCCTGGGGCAGCCCTTTTGCGGCCTTTTCCTTGGAGTGTTTGACCCTCATCCTTGTCGAAATAGCACAATAAATAATAAGTATAACACAGCTTATTCATCGAAAAAATGTATTATACGATACAGTTGGAGGAGAAAAACTCACTGAGCTATCATTCACATCATTTATCGTATTATTAGCTTCACCACTCGAACTAGAGTCCACATTCTCAGCATCATCTTCAATGCTTCGAACTGATGCAGATCTGCAACAAGTTGATTGGGAATTTAATTCAAAACTGCTACAAAACAAATTCAGTGGCGCCATAGGGACAAATCCTGCATTGAACAAAGGTTGTTAGCCATTAATTAGGTCATTACCTTTGTGACTGACGAATACCCAGTGATGCATCAAGTGTTGTCTGCTTTAAGCTGGTGGAAGCCCTGCCTCTCCCCCTCCCTCGGCCCCTTCCTCTTGATGAAGTCTTGGCAAGTTCAGAAGCATCGTGAGAGGACCTAAAAGATGGTGATGGCTCTTTCCTGCCCTTATTAGCAGCAGTATACTTTGAGGTAGGAAAAGGACTTGTGTTCTCATCATCACTAAAGGAAACTGCACTTCTATTTCTGATCTGAAAACAGTTATTTAACTTACCTCATAAGATATTATACCAAAGATTATCCTTGGAACGCAAATCCTAAGTTCCATTTGAAAGCACCACTACGATAATACCTCTGAGGATTGCCCACTAAATATGAATGCTTGGTCATCTTTCTTCAGTGTAGCTCTTTCTTTGACACGTTCCTGTAATCAACACACTGTTACTTCATGAATTTGAGAACTCCTTACCGTGAATAAGAAAAGCTTCTTCCTCACAGGCCTATAGAACAGTTTAAAGGCGCATAACATGATTCGTCACCTTATCCTTATTACATAGTATTATACATGGGATGAGATTATGCACCCAAAAACAACATAAAAGAGAGCGATTGTGGCATTTAAGACCCTCATAGAGGAGGGTGTCATTAACACTATGTTTGGTTCAAGGAATTTGAGAGGGAAAGGAAAAGAAAATGAGAAGGAAAACATTTTTTCTTGTTTGGTTAGAGAGGAAAAGAAAAGAAAAGTGGAAGGAAAAGAAAATGAGAAAGCAAAATGTATTAAGAGGATGGAAAACCAAATTCCTCCCATTTTGGTGAGGAAACTAATGGAAAACCATTTTCTTTTCTTTTCCTTCCAAATTCCATGAACCAAACATAGTGTAAGAGATCTTTCAAAAGCCATAAACTGAATAACACACGCCTTCTTGAACTCAGCGCTCAAAAACTTAAGTTGATATTTGGGTGCTGAAGATGTTGCATAAAATTCAGTTACCACAAAAATGTTTTAGGCTTTCTATCTATGATTGCTGCCCATCACCTTGACTGATAGAAGTAAATGATGTGATCAGATACAAACAATACCATTATCTATTTTATTATTTATTATTTGATATTTAATACTTCCTCCGTCCCTAAATATTTGCCACATTTGTATTCCCGAGACAAAATATCAAGTTTTTTCAATTCATTTTATTTACATATTGGTATAGAAATAAAAAATAAAATTTACATATCAAAAAACTACATGAAAAGTTCTTCGAAATAAGAGGTGTCAAGAATATTTTATTTTATCAAATAACCAATGAAAACGTAGAAATAAACAAAAGTTCCCGCGACTGCTAAAAAAGCAAATGTTGCAAATAATTTGGGACGGAGGGAGTAGTAGTTTATTTAATTATGTTTTCTAATGTAAGTTATTTGTTTTAGTTAGAACTTAGAAGTCCAGCAAAGGCAGCAAAAGATAGTCAGAGTAGTTTACTTTATTATATTTCATATACTAGATTTATTATTTCTTTTATAATTCTAAGTTGAGTAGAGGACAAGTCAGCCAGTTGTATAGCCTGGCTTGTGATTGCTACTGCAAGTACCATTCTTTGCGGCGTGTGTTTCAACGGTAAAGCACCAAATTCCAAGTTCCAACTTCCAACTGATAGAAAATGCAAGCCTAATCACCACCCTCATGACCCTAGTGCCCTACCTAGGGGGAAATTAAATGGATAAACAAATAAATATAAAGCTAGCACAGAGGGAGGGAGGAAGGGAGGAGAGGGAGAGAGAGAGAGAGAAAGAGAGAGGGGGAGAGAGAGAGAAGACCATGCAAACGCAACATACAGGTGCAAGGGCTATGGTATTTTGCAAGCTAAGTAGGCAAACAAGTAAACACACAGGCCTCTTTAAACAGCTTTGAACAGGAGAGATTATCAAAGAGTACAGTTCTACCTCTAAGAGCTCCCCAACTTTGAGAATTAAATCGTCCTCTTCGCATTTCAATGGATCCGAATCCTTAGCAATTTTATTCTGTCAGGTCACAGCATTTAATTTGTTAGGGCAAGATGAATATATTACTATGTAAAGGATATGGGAGAATAAATGGTGAAAATTGTAATAGATGTACAGACAGACTACCATGAGTCCATTATAACACAATATACATGACTTACACGAGTTTCCTTGAGGTTGTGTTGGACACAAGAATGGAAAGCCATTTTATCATCCTTGTTCACAAAACTATGTAGCGCAACATCCAAATCATTAACAGGAAGTATCTCCATTTTCTGGGAAAAAGTTATGATTAGACACCCCTTAGCACACAAATATACTTACTCCCCCCCCCCCCAAGGCTATGATCATATGAAATACAAAAAAAAAAAGAGAACTCTATAAGTCCCTTCAAAGTTAAAAAAGAAAGATGATAATTGAAAGTTGATATTATACCAAATTACTCTCAGCAACTAAAGCTTCTATATTCTGCTGATTCAACTCTTCGGGGCGAAGCCTTTCGGCATCTTCAATTTTCACTGCACCTGATTAGGAAAAAATAAACAGCATCCAATAACTATGAAAAAATTGATAAGTGAAGAGCCTTGTAGTAAAAAATGAAAGACAAGTGTGTGAAAACCTAGGAAAAATTACTATCGTCCATTCACCCCCTGATGCTTGGCCAAACTACTCCAACCTTGCAGACAAAGGCCTTGAAGGGCCCTAGAACAGGGTGTATTAGTAACAATCTAGGATTCCCAGGAACATATGACTTATACGCTCCAACTTGAGAAGTGAGGAATTATGTACTGTAAAGTAGAGTCATGAGTCATTTAGTACAATGAAGTTATATTACATCACCTTAATGGCGAAATATGAGCGATGTAGATATGGTGTACTTGTATTGACTTAAAAGTTAACATTTTGTAATAAGTAGGGGCTGTAAGCAGTAAATCTGATATCTATATGAGTGAATCAATTCCATTGTTTCACACATTTAAAGTGAGCCAGACCTAGCATATAGGACAACTAAGGGTATTTTGCTACTTATTTAATGAATAATTCATTTTCTTCACATAAATGAAAACAAACGATAAAATGATGCTACTTTTTTAATGAATAATTCATTTTCTTCAAATAAAGGAAAACAAATAATAAAATGAGCTTGAAATGTCGCAGAGGGGTCAATAATCGGGGAAAACAAATTTTAACTTTTAAGGGGTAACAAATTATCTTTTCAAAATGCAAGGTTGGACTAGGTATATTGAGAGAGCATTGAGGGTTGATATTAACTTTCCTAACATCTATTACTTTGAGATTAAGGACTTAAGGCAATTGAACTTTTCAGAGTATCACTTGCGCAGGTGCAAAATAACTACAAATCAACAAAGAAGCAAAGTATGTGGAGAGGGAGTAATTTAGCTCAAAGACGAGCCTTCAAGCATCACCAAATCCAGAAAGCCAAATAATCAATGTGTAAGCTATATTAGCCGAAAAAGGACAACATATGCTTTCTACTACAGTAGAATTTCAAATTGCCAAGGCAATATCAATGAATTTGGTACACTCCTTATAGTAATATCATACTAAACATTAGCACGGTTCTTTTGACACTGGATTTTGGTGTCATAATATGACAGTGGGGCCCTACGGTGCTCCGTTCAGTCCGTTGGGCCCCAAAGTAAGTCCCAGCCACCCCTTGCCTGACGCCGGCTCCGGGCAGCTGCCTCTCATCCCACGGGTTTCGCGTCCAATATGACACTGAGGGATGTTGTCAAAAGAACCGGGCCCATTAAGCAATTGTCTCCAAAATAAATCATATCAATTGTGTATAATCTCACAAAGGCATGAGAAGAAATCGTATTACCCTCGCGATGACCTTTTTTTGTAGATTTTGAAAATATAAGTACATCCTGAGGATTTGCGACCTATAAATTTGCAAATGTTATATTCCAAAAAAACTTTTGGTACAAAGAGGGGTGGAAAGGAAGTAAGCAATATCTTCACGATGGAACATAAGTATAAATTACCTTCCCCACGTATTTTTGTCCAAACCTTTGAGGATTTATAGTCATAAATCCAGAGTAATCTACCTGAAACCCCATCCGGATAAATAATCATGGAAGTTGAGAGATATATAGGGAAAAATAAACAGGAAATACAGCAAGAAACTTGATTAATATATAGGATTAGAAAATAAGCAGGTGGTTAACTAAAGTACATGAAAATTTCACCTTTACTCGAACTAAGGGAAGCTTGTTCTCTGATCCATTTACATCAATACTGTTAGATTGTTCTATCAACTTTCTAACCTGCAACAATTCAATGGAGCCAGCAAGTTATCTTCATAACAAAAAAAAAGATAGAAAATAAATGAACAAAATTCCAAATAATAACATAAAACAGAAAGAATACTGAACTGAATAACATCACATACCACTTTGTCCAAATGTTCAAGAATTGAGTTTTGATCATTTGGATCAATATCTGGCTCATCCTTCAAAGCAATCTGAAACATTAAACTAAATAATTTAGCAAATGTTCCTTTTATTTACTGATTCAGTATAATGAAATAAAGAAACCTCAGTGTACTCAAAAGGCCGCACTGACTTAAGAGGTATCTTAGTTGGGCGATACTGATTACCCTGCGATGAATTGAAAGCATCAGTCAGAAAAACATGACCATTTGAGTATTTGTTAATATGCAGCAGGTGAACAAGACTAAAGTACAAAAAAATAAATTATTAATATGCACATTACAACCTTAATTTCCAAAAGGAGCACATGTTTTGCTTTCGACTCACCATCAATCAGTGATGTGGCAACGGATGAACCTGGCTGAGAAATGTGGAAACCCATACCAGGCACTTCCTGTTACCAAAATGAGTTATAATCAGCAATGCTCTACAAAGAAACTGTATTAGAAATTTAGAAGAACATAAATAAGAAAGCACCTGAGGATCAATGAGACATTCATGTTCATGGCCCCACACAATAAAATCCAGAAATCGAGGCAAGAAATGCTCATTAATTGCATTTTTAGGATTTGTCTTTACTCTGAAAATTAAAAACAAACGCTAGTTCACCCAGAATTCTTGAACAATACAATGCACACTTATGCCCAATCACCTACTTAAAAGGTTCTGCATAGACAATCTTTGTTTTGAAACTTGAACCAGACAAGCCAGTTCAACATGTTAGACCAGCATCCAGTGGTATAACCGTTTGATTCTTTTATTTTGTTATTTCTGATCAAACCATTACTCCAATCTTGTTACCCGGAGTATTTATGGAGTAACTTTTTTTCATACGTTAGAAAATTCTAGCAGGAGTGGGCTTTGGAACTTGGAAGTAGAAGAGTAGGGAGGGCATATTTGGAAAGTCAACCACTTTTCTTACATAAAAAATTGTGCAAGTCTAAGGCCTTGTTTGGCAATGACGTTAAAGTTTAATGTTAGCGTTTTCAAATGTAATCCGAACCATTAAATTTTATCCAAAACGCTAACGCTGATCGAAAACAATGTTTCCCAAGAAGGCCTAAGTGGGAAAAACCAAATAGGATGGAAGGAGTATAATACTTTATCATTCGCACATGATTATACTTTGACACAATAGTTATCATTTTAATGATATATATACACACACACACACACACCAACATTTTATTGACACAAATTCTACACCTGTTCTATTGGGGCACTTACAGTGCTTTTTTTTGTAAAATTGATGATTCATAACCCCCCACCCAAGCCCTGCCCCCTTGCCCCTCCTCTGCCAAATTGGCGATCGGGAGGCTGGGGGGTTTAGTAGCCCACCAATTTGACCATTTGTCTTGGTACACTGACCACTGGACAACTTGTCTGAGCCTTGAAACACTCGATAACATAATAGTACCTATGAGAGCTGAGAACTTAATATATCTAAGATATGAGTAACCTGTTCTGGTGAAGAACCAGGATATTGAACCAATCTGATACTTCATACCCTTCCTTTGCATCAGGTCGCATCCATTGAACAGCATGAGGTGTCTAAAGTATAGAGGACAAAATTAAATTCTGTAACACCAAATTGGAATTTCAAAACAAATAAAATAGGATGAAGAACTCCAGACTGGCATGGTACCTGAAACATTCTATTCAAACGCTCATCTCTAATATTACCAAGTCCATAGAGGGCTACAGATGTGGAACCCTGCAATTAACAGCTTTAAGCCAACTTTAAAAAAAAAAAAACTCCCTCCATCCCAAAAAGAATGCCAAACTTCACTATTCAAAAATCATGGGAACTTTTATTTATTTATGCGTTTTTATTGATTATTTGATAAAATAAAATATTCTTGTCGCCTCTCGTTTTGTAAAACTTTTGACGTAGTTTAAATATGTAAGTTTTATTATTTATTTCTCTACCAAATTTTAAATAAAATGAATTGAAAAAAACTTAAAAGTTTTCTTTGTTTTGCGTAATGTGGCGTTCTTTTTAAGGAGGGAGTAAGAAGTAAGCAAATACGTTAGCCCAACCTTTCTGATGAGAATGGGATAGAGAGAAATCTGTCCAATCCCCGAACTACCAAGATCCATTTTTCCAAAATAATTCACCAGATTGCATGCTGAAAGTATATCGACAGCAGAAAGGTTGTCCTGACACAATTGCAAAGAAAACTCAAAATATCGGTATTAAATATGTGATTAATGAGCAAAATCAAACACATTTGAGGGGCCAAAATGGAATTAATAATAATTAAATAAAATAAAGATTAGAACAGCAGTTGGAAATCATTCAGTCAAGGAACAGGTTGAATGAAAAACAATTGGGAAATTCTAAAACATTATATTGAAATCTGCAGCAGGAACACAGAAAAATTGATATATCTTTAGTTAGACATCAGGGCCCCATTAGTAAGAGTCAAATTTAGTTGAAATGACTGGGTGCTAAACTTTCTAAGAGTGAACTGTAAATTGGTCTAAATTATCCAAAATGGCATTAAAAAAGTACTCCCTCCGTCCCAGAAAAAGGTTCCACATTTCTTTTTTCATCCCTTTACAGTTTTGGAAACAATTTTGTGGCCCTTATAATTTCTCTCTTTTGCATCACTTTCACCACACAAATACACAATTTTACTTTTCTTAATCTCCGTGCCATGTCAAAGGTGGAGCCTTTTTATGGGACGGAGGGAGTATATATACTATAATAAATGGAATTATGTCAAGAACACGAGTGTAAAAGCATCTCTCTTCACTTCAACCCTTTCATCCAAAAAATACCCCTTCCCTAAATAATCTCCTCACTTTCCTTTTTTGATAGTCCAAAATTATCTCATCTTTTATCTTTAGGAAAGCATTATGTGCTTCATATTGTTTCTCCCTCCTGACCTCCTCTAAACAAATCTCAACCACATAGTTTGGTAGAAAAAAAAGGATTACCAGTTATATGATCACATCCACAAGAGTCAAGTCCAATTGTTGAATGTGTTAGATACACATGTTGTAGATGAACTCGAGAAACGTACCAAAATATTGGAGACTTTAAAATTGTGACAGGATTTATGATCATGGGTGAGATCACAACTGGAGAGAACGAATTTTGAGCAATATTAACAGGATGTGGAGGTCTTCCATGTAGTTACCAACATGGCGGCAACATCTATTGTTGGTATGTCCATGTTTGTGGCATAAATCATACTTTGGTTTGTGAAAAATACTAAGACTTTATCCTTTTTTCACAATGTATGCTATCATACATGCACTAGATAATCTTCAAGAAAAAGATAGTGAATGAAAACCCAGACCAGAAGCATGAACCCAAAAATGAAATTTAGGGAACTTGTTTAAAAAGTTGCTCGCCCATTGCATGTTATGGTCTTATTTAAAAAACATACTAGGATATTTTATTAGTTAAAAACTTGTACATGCTGAGAGGGGGAGGACATGAATCGTGCTCCTTCTATACATCATAAAACCAAAGCTGAATAGAACAACATAACGCCATAATGAAAGGTTCTAAGCCCCAAGTTCCGCAAGAAGGCAAAACATCCAAAAGAAAATAAACCCAAGTAATAAGCAAACATGTGGATCAGCCAGCATATAGACCAAAATGTCTTATAAGGAATGATCAAAATTCTGGAAACTACAAACCCTTTACATGTTGGCAGTTGATAAAGGGTCATACACCTTTTTCATACTATGCATGTTGGGAAATTCTTCCATCATAGGTTCAAGAGTAATTTATTAAACCCAAGCCATATCATTCAATGTTTTTGAAGATGAAAATGGCATTCTCAAATACCATTGAACTATTGAAGTAAAAAGTGTCATTAAAATAAATTCACTTCGTGCATGTTGAACATCTACACAAGCATTGCTATCTTGTTAATAAAATAGTGTACAAAATCAGAGGAATGCTTTATATGTTGTAAAAGCTAATTAACAATAATGTTGCAAAAAAATGTGGACTAGTAGGATTATAAACTTTGATTTTTTCCAAGAAAGTCAAACATTCTCCGATGCAAAAAAAAATAGAGAGAAGAAGACTGAGGGTGTCGTTTTCAAAATGTTCAACCTTTGATCATGATAAACATTTTCATTTTCCCCAAAAGATAGCACCTGCCGTCAAACTATTTTGGGAGGGAGTGGCACATGCATTAAGAAAAGTAAGAGTGGGTGGTTGATATTGATGCTAAAAAGTAAAAAAAGCAAAAATGAATGCAAACCACACGCATATGATCAAATATGGTATGGGACAAAATAGTTGGACACTTGGACCGATTTAAAAGACAAAAATAGTCAGACACAGGGAGTATGTAAGATATTTTCCATATGGGTAGGCTCTTGGAGTAATCAGTTACACATAACTTTTTTCAGGCCAAGCAGAACAAACAGGGACCTTTGTGGAGGCAAACACACTCTCCAGATAATTTTTTTCTGAACATACTACTCCATGCCCTATAACGAATAACACCAAAAACAAACCCAGTGAAAAATCACGCACATCACGCATAGTGGGGTGTGGGGAGGGTGAGTTATGCAGATCTTACCCTTACCAATAGATTAGAGAGGTTATTTTCAATAGACCCCAACTCAAAACACAAAAGAACAAAAAAATAAAGCACACGCCTAAACTACTGCAAACTAAAAATCTTTGAGCAGAAACATGTACACAGTTAAATGCATAAACATTTTTTCATAAGACCTCAAGCAGGAAGTAACTTATAAAATGCATAAACATTTTACCATAACCCACATACCACACCAGCAGGATCATCGTGATTCCCATGAATACTGAAAACTGGCAATCCAACATTGAAGTGGGGATCTTCATAGTTTACATGACCAAACCTGAAAAGTCATCACAGACCAAAGTTACAATAGAAAAATCAAATGTAATACATAAATACATCTTGTAGTTGTTTAACAAGAGATGTTATCACATTAAGCAATTGTTTGTACATATTACTATCTCAATGTTTTTGTCCAATTTTCATTAGAGGAAATAAAATAAAGCGACATTGACTTATTTTCCCTCACCTAATTCTCTAACTCCCCCAGCCAAAAAGTAAAGTAAGAACATAATTTCCTTAGTCCATGTCCAAAAAAGAATGTGTATGATTACACTGAGACGGAGGGAGTATATTGAAAAAAAGGGAAAAGACCACCCACATTCCGCGGCAAGCAAATTGGGAAGTCCCAATTAAAAAACACAAGTACTAAACAAGAATCGTTTAAGCACAATGACGTTTGTTCATGAAAAAAATTGATATCTCCATATGAAGAAGTTATTAGTTAAAACTGGAAATTTAACAATAGTGCAGAGAATTAAATGTAGTTGAGAAATTAATCATAAGATAATCCCAGTACGTATTCGCAAAGTTCATTGTCTGATCACTGACGACTTGGAACTGCACTGGCCGATCATTGAGACAATACCGGCGCAGAATCTCAATGGCCTTAACTAAGGTGGTCCTAGATGGCTTATTCTCGTGAAAAAGATCACCGCCAAGAAGCAAAAAGTCCACCTGATATCCAATTGAACCATTGAAGTCAGTGTACATCACAACTCATGACACAAAATGAAGTCACTCAAACTAGGTAAATTTACAGTTCTTAAACTAGACCTTCTAAGAAACCAATGTGCATGGCAGTAAAATCAGTGAACAATTGAAATAACTTGCCTTGTTTTTCTCTGCAATCGAACATATCTCATCAAATGATCGGAATGAATCATGCCTTCGAATTTCATCCTTCTCCAGATAACCCAAGTGACAGTCTGTCGCTACAAGTATCTTAAGCGTGTCTTTCTCCGCTTCCCTGCAAATTCAGGAGCATATCAAAAAAGAAACGCCTTGATTTCCCATTCATTAAACATTATCCACTCCGTTGAAATTATAGTTCTTTCATAGGCATATCATCGAACAGAATCAAGGCATGTTTTTTACTTTTTTCCCTTTTTCTAATTATTTGTGTACCTGGAAGAACAGCTCATTTGAATCAGAACAGAACTGGGTCCTAGAATTGTCAAAATAAAAATACTGCAGTAATGGTTGGACAACTCCAGCGAGGTTTCATGTAAAGAAACCCAGTAACCCTGGAGCTTGAAAGTTCAAACCCGAAACTGAAACCCCTGCTGCGCTCGTTCTTAGGAAAACGAGCGGGGATTTCTTGGAAATATTGATGGGTGACAACGGAGCAAAATTGTATTCACATATTAAAATCATTACATACTACTCCGTAATATTGAGTTATTAATAGTAAAATAAAGGGACTAAATTAAAAGTTCTCAAAGAATTTTTTGTATACCACTCCGTATTAGATAATGATTAATTATTTCAATGATTATTGGGAAAAAACCTTAAATAAGACTAAAACATATCAAATATACTTAAATAGGACTCCAAAACTTAAATCCCCCAAATAGGACTTAATTTACGTCGCCATACCCAAAATACCCCTCGCCATTTGTGACACAGAACTATTTTTTCGTCACTGGTCGCGCTACATGTCCACAAGGCCACAAGTACTTGAACTACATGTCCACATGTCCACATGTCCACATGTCACATTACCACAATACAAACTCTATTTTGAAAGTAAAAAAAATGGAGCTGCGATGTTTGTACTTTCTCTAAAGTGAAAGTAAAAAATGAAAAAATCACAAAATAAAATTTAATTTTTCATGTTTTTATTTACAAAATTTGAATTAAAATACATTTACATTAGCAAGCATGACCATGTACATTACAATAAATGTCTATGTAGAGTGTCATATTACCACAATGCGAACATATATTTAGAGAATAAAAATATGGAACTCCTATTTTAACACTTTCTCTATATTTTATTTCTTTAAGCATTAAGTGATTAAACACAAAAAGATAAATGGGTCAAACAAGGAAAAATAAATACGTATAAAGGAAGTTAATAACTAGGGAGTACTACGTAGTAACTACATGTACAATGAAAAAGAGAAGAAAAAAGGTGGCCTTTGTATGCAAAAGAAGAGGAAGGAGAGAGAAAGAAAACAAAAAAAAAACAAAAA